CTCCTCCGCCCCCTCCCCCACCTCCTCCTCTCCCTGGTCCTGCAGCCGAGACTCCCTCCCCCACCTCCTCCTCTCCCTGGTCCTGCAGCCGAGACTGTGCCAGCCCCTCCTTTGCCACCACCCCCTCCTCCCTCTGCACCCCCGCTGCCTGGAACATCTTCGCCCACAGTGGTTTTCAACTCAGGATTAGCAGGTAAGGGCACAGAATGAAAACCCAGGTCCTTATGTAAGGAATACCCATTTCTCTTACCTCCCCTCCAGAGAGTTAAGGCTGTTCTCTTTAAGCCCAAGTCTTACAGTGACATGGATCTACTGTTGGTATATCATTTCTGCTAATGCAGTCGGCAGAGGAGAATTCTCGTGCACAGGAGGCATTTTTCTGAGTCGCCTTTGTCACTTCTTCCATAGCCAGAGGTTTTGCTCTCGCTGACCATCTTCCTGTCTGCCACTACCCCAACCCCAGAGAAGGGGAGAGAGACAAGTCACCTCTTTAATCATCAGGGCACCTTTGTGGGTTCAGCAAACACTTCCTGACAGAGTAGTCAAAGCTTTGCATTGGGCACAGACAGTTGGGTGCTTCTCACCACCACCACCCCCGCCCCGTCCCAACACACACACACACCTTTTAAAGGTATTTACCACACTGTCTATACAAGGGGAAAATGCCTTTATGAGTATGGACATTTGAAGACATCAGAATTTGTTAGGTTGTGTTTAAGCTTCAAGGAAAAGTGCTACCAGTGACAATATTTCCGTTATTTGAAATGTCTCAAATAATCTTGTCGTCATCTTGCTAACCAGGATATAGTGTGTGGTGTCCTCACTTCAACAGAACTGAAGTGGGGTAGGGACAAGAGGAGCCTTGAGATATTAGCTCTTATTTTTGACTCATGGAAATGAAGTTTTACTCTTTCCCTCAGGGAAATGAAGTTTTACACTTTCCCACCACACTACGAGCTGTTCCCGTTATGGAATAGTTTCCTGGTATTTGGAATTGCTCTGAGCTTTGCCATCCCTATGATACTGGATCATTCTGCATGCTTACCCACTTCAGTCTGCTCTGGAATCTCATTTCTGATGACAAGTTTACAAGCCAGACTAATGACCTCCAGTTCCAAGGCTGCAGTGCTTTTTGGAGCATTTTGTCTGCAGTCCAAAGGCCAGCCCTAGCCATAAAGATTGCCCAATCTCCATCTCTTCCAGGATTCTGCCCACAGCTTTCCCAGCCTGTCATTGGGCTGACAATCCTCTTAGTACCTAGGATCCTTTCAGACACCTGAAGGCTACCCCTAGCCAACGTGCTTTATATCAAACTCATGTTTTTGCTTCTACCCTGACTTTTGTAAAACTGTCAGAAAAGCCAAATAGAATGCCTGCTCAAATGTACTGTCATTTTTACAGTAAATCAGTGGTTTGTTTCTGCCTTTCAAGGTCTTCCTTGCCTGCTGCTTTCTTCTAGAAATTTTGTTACTTCTGAAGGGGGAGAAGGTGCAGGAGAGTCTTCTGGAACTGTTGGATTGTGGAATGTAAATAAACAAAAAAATCTCAGGACAAGCTCTGGGAATCCGTCCCATCACCAGGCTGTTTTCAGTGACTGAGTGTGGAAGCCCATGATGGGCATGGTACCTGGGCTCCCTGACAGCTCTCCTTGTAGCCCCTGAGGGACACTGACTGTGAGATGTGTCTGCTGTGGGGTAGCATCTGGTACCACTTCCTTTCTGGCAAAAGCTGACATGTGATTCAGCATTCACTGCCACTCACTGAGCTAATGGAGAACTCAGAACAGCCTTGGCGGCCTGAAGGAGCCATGGGGCTGACATGTGTAGGTGTAGGCCTTTCTTCTGAAGGGTTGGGTCCTGATTATTTATTTATTTATTTTTGTCTAGTCTTTTACTTAATTTTGAGGATTGTTAGCTGAATTGATTGCCTCAATTTTAAGATGTAGAACACTGAGCTTAGCTGATACCCAGCTGCTGCCTTTGGAATGGTTACTATTGGAAGTTGTTCCCATTGTATCTTAAGCAATTTGGAGGGGAGGGCTGTATGTGGGTTTGAAGGAGCTCCTCTTTATTTCTATTAGTTTTTGTGAAATGGCTGTAAGAGATGCCTATTTTACAAGAGTTTTGACTGTTATTTTGTTTGTTTGTTTTTGTTTTTGAGAGTTTTCTGCTATAGGGCACATGCGCTCGCCAGAAAGACTGAGACAGAAAGCGAGAAATCACCCCTAGGGGATGGCCACGCTGCAATCCCTTCTCCTCCATTCTCCTCCCAGGATCTTGGGCACACACGCACACGCACCCAGCGTGAGTTTAAGCCACCGGGTCCGGGACTTGAACTGTGGTCAACTATGTGGGAGTCTAGTGACACAGCCATTGCATTTTGGTAGTTTTTAATGGCTTGAGATTAGGTAATTTCTACAAGGTCTTTAATCTCTTTATTACTCTTCAATTGGCTGTTAAAACTTTGTGGTAGAATCCCATCCTGTGAGATGTGGATGTTCAATCACTGTTTCTCTCTTTCTGGAACCAAGAGGCCAAACAGAATAAGGATGTCTCAGTAGACCCAAGAAATAGAACTGAGCTGGTATGCCCAGGGATCCCAACTCTCTAGGCCTCCGGGTCCACAGGTGACAGGATGTCATATCTCTTTACTAGGCAATGAGCAAGTGTGTTCTTAGTGGCCAAGATGTAGGACCAGGACCAGGTTTCATAGCTTATCTAGTTGAGAATTTCTTTATAGAGCGAGTATTAGTAGCATGAAATATGTATTTGAAGTGTGAGACTTACTACTTCTTCAAAGTCTGGTGAACTGCCGGGCTCGCTCTTCTACTGTAGGTTACCTAAGACACTGCTGGGCAGTCTGTGACCTTTGCTGCCTCTGTGGGAGGATATGCTTGGATCTTTACAATGAGAATTTGGACCTCAGCTGATTTTTAAAGTTATTTATTTAATTCACTATTAAGTTTGCTGTAGGGCATGATTGCTCACCAGCGAGAGTGAGAGGGAAAGTGCGAACGTGAGGGACTTGAAACATAGTCGGCTCTGTGGGCGTCTAGCGCCTTAACCACCACGCCACCTGCTGGTCCCTCAGCTGATTATTTCTTATGAAAAAATTGGTCATATAGAACAGCTACCACAGCTCTGTGTAACTATTTGGGACCACCGCAATGAGATAATTATTTTCACACCCTCTTCTGAAAAGGATCATTTTTGAAATAAAATAATAAGTGAGTCTTCAAGGCAGTCCTGAAGGGAAATAAATTTTTAGCTCTGTGCTGCCTTGTGAAATGTGCCCGAGAAGCATGACATTCTGAGCCGAGAGTGTGAACTGCTACACCACTTGACTCTAACCGCATCTAATTTCCTTGTATTTTCTCTGTTCTTTCTGCTTCCACACAAGATGGGCCAATCAAGCTTTTCTGTAGGTTGCTCCTCACCGAGTGTGCTGCGTATCTGCCATGTGTTGATGTGGGTCACACTGTGCCTTGACATCTTTCCACTCCATCTTCCCTGATCCATTGCATTCTGACTTCGTGTCTGTGGGCAGTCTTGGTGTTGGCTGACTGATATTCTGGGTGCATCCATGCATTTTAGTCAAATTTGTACAAGAGATTTTTGTCCTTTAAGCAGACATCCTGGATTGATCTGCTATGTCTTGTTCTTTCTTAGAAAAGAAAAGCTGCTTTTTTTTTTCTTTTTTAAAAAAATTTTGTCAGACAGTACATGCACTCGCCAGAGAGAAGACAGGAGGACAGAAAGGTAGAAAGCACCCCCAGTGGGCTGTGGCCACACCACAGTCCCTTTTCCTCCATTTCTTCATCCTGCTGGAATTCTGGGCAAGCACATGTGCTCAGTATGTTTTTTTTTTTTTTTTTTTCAAGCTGTCAGGGCTGGGGTGTGAACTGTGGGATCAGTTAACTTAGCTCCCTTAACCACTAGACCATGGGATTGGCCCTGCTTTTTTTCTATTAGTTTAATTTTTCATGATTGGACCTAAGGCTACTCTAAAAGGATTTTAGATTTATTCTGAGGAAAAAGGAGAACTCAAGAGAGTTGCTGGGTGTGCCCTGCCAGTCCTCTCCCACTGGTCTCTGGCTCACTCCATGGTGCTCATCCATCTAGAGCCATCTTTTTTAGCCTGGTCTGTGGGGACGGAGTGTGTTTTGTGATCACTTGGCCCCTTTCCTTCCCTTCTGCACCCCGACACCCCAGTTAAGAAAACCTTTCCGAGGAGACCTTTCTTGCCTGTGTTCTGATCTCAGGCTCATTCCTGATCTAGCCAAAGACTTAGGAAGAGGAATGACTGCTAGTGCCCATCCTGGGCCTGTGGTGTCCCAGGATGAAGGTAGGATGCACAGGCACCAGCCTGTCCCCTTAGATTGTGAAGAGACCCCTCCCCTGCCCTGCCCAACATTGCTGAAGCCCCTGGCTTGAGGAAGTCCACATTCCTTTGTCCCATAGAGGATACCGGTTTTTCTAGGCAGTGTAGACAAACATGAACTGTGGGAGGAATCCGACACTGTTGTGTAGTAGGGACAGAGGTGTCACATTTGGTGGTAAAAAGCTCTGGTTAGGCAAAAGCTGTGTCTGTGTGTCCCTGCATGCTTTCGTGTGGGTTTGTCAGATGACATTCTTGTGTTTCTGTGGCCTTCGTAACGCTGGAGGAATGAGAGGCACCGTCTCTCTCCTTTTTTCAGTTAAAGCCAATTGAGTCAGGCAGGCAGCCAAGGAAAAACTCAGTCATGTGTTGCTCTTATTTTGTTCTTCACTGAAGTGTGAAGTTCTCCCTCCTTTGCTAGTAATGGCCAGTAGTGAAGCTCCCAAATTGTGTGGTGGGCTACCTGAGACAGACTGGCAAAGGTGAATGTCTATAGCCAAATGTTTTGGGAGGACATCATTATGATGCGTAATTTAAAAAGAAAATTTTAAATGGTTACTTTTGTAAAGCTCATTTTCTCAAGTGGGAAGAATTGGCACTCTCCTAGTCCCTAAAAGACAGACAGATCCTGTACTCTATTAAGAGATCTCCAATTGTTTCTGTTTTATTTTGTTTTGTTTTCAAAGTTACCAGGGAGCTCATATACTTAGTAGAAAGAAAGAGAGACACAGAGAGAGAGGAAAAGGGAGAAAGCATCCCCATGGAGGATGGCCATGCAGTAATACCTTTTTCTTTATTTATCCTCTCAGGATTTTGGGTATGCATGCACATGCACCCGGCGTGTTTTTCAAGCCACTGCATCCAGGACTCAAACTGTGCAGTCGGCCATGTGGGATCAGCCACCTTAACCATCAGAACAGTGACTAGCCACACGGTTTTTAGTGGATCCATTAATACTTTCTTGTTGAATAGCTCACTCCTTGGGAGACCTTACCTTGTTAAAAAGAGGGGCAAGGGATGGTGGCTGTTTCTGAGGAGCAATGTAATTTCTTGATTTCTCTAAGCACCCCTTCTTTTTTCTTAAGCACTTTTTAATTTAGATCATTCATGGCTCTTAGACTATTTGAAATAACTTGGTAGCCAATGTAGTCTTTGTTATTGAAATCACCCATTGGAATGTATTGCCCTGGCTAAAAATCAGCCTTCTTGATGTTACATTCCTGGTGGTTTAGACAATCACTGTATGCAGTCTCTGGTCATCTTTTAAGGTCTGTTTATAAACATGTGTTCTAGAACCAAGAATTTAAGATTCAAAATTGACAGTATTTGCTTTCCCTGCTATTTAATAACATAAATAATAATTTTTGCCTTCCAAAACTTTGTCTTAAGCATTGTCCTAATATGTATTTATAATGCAGCATTCTGGTTTTCTGCATTAAAACAAAACAGAACAATCAACCTCTGGTCCTTAGACACTTTTTAACACCATGTTGTGTCAATCAGTCCAATGAGGAGCTCTTAACGGCTCTGACCAAGGCTATACGTGATGTTTTCCACATTTTAAAACATGTGGACGTCTCTTGCCAGTCTTCCTCCAGTGTTAAAATGTCATCTGCAAGGATTATTGTCTGACTATTCCTGAGGGTCATGAGACCTTGCTGGGATCTTAATTTCATTCTCTCTAATATCTTTAGCTGTGAAAATTAAGAAGCCGATCAAGACGAAATTCAGAATGCCGGTGTTTAACTGGGTTGCTCTGAAGCCCAATCAGATCAACGGCACAGTCTTCAATGAAATTGATGATGAGCGAATTCTGGAGGTATCTTTCTCATTGGCTGCAGAATAGGGGCACTGTTTTTGCAGCAAAGTTTGGGTGGGTGCCCTGTTAATCTGGAAGTTTCAGTGATAAAGTACTAGTGTTTTAAGTGCCTACTGTAAAGAAGAAACAGATTTATAATTTCAAAGAATAAAACTGGACACTATTATGTAAGGTGGTTCTTTTTTTTCTTTTTTTTTTTTTTGAGAGATTTTCACTATAGGGCGCGTGTGCTCGCCAGACAGAGAGAGGCGTAGAGACAGAAAGCGAGATATCACCCCCCAGGGGGGCTGGCCATGCCGCAATCCCTTCTCCTCCATTCTCCTCTCAGGATCTTGGGCACGCATGCACACGCACCCGGCGTGAGTTTTAAGCCACTGGGTCCGGGACGCAAAACGCAGTCGACTACGTGGGAGTCCAGCAACATAGCCATTACGCTAACTGCTGGTTCACGTGTAAGGTGGTTCTTAAACTATGTTAAAAATTTATGTGAAAATGCAGTAGTTTTTTTTTTCTTTTTCTTCTTCTTTTTTTTTTTTTTTAAAGTTTATTTCTTCCAGAAGAGTCAGAGAAAAGGACAAGGAGAGGGAGGGAGGAAAAGAGGAAAAGACACACCTCCAACATGATCTTCACACCACAGTTCATCCTCAGCCAGCTATGATCATGCACCCAGCATGTATAGGGAGACCTGGGGGCAAGAACCTGGGACCTTCCCGTGTGGCTTCTGCATCATAGAACATTGTGTTATGGCCATGCAACTGCTGTTGGCCAAGACATAGTTTTAAGCATCTTCAGCAATCAATAGTCTACATTAGGCGTTCACTCTGTCTATGTGTCGTATATCATGATGTCACAAAAATAGGAAAAATAGAGCCAGCCATGCCCAGAGACATGGATTTAATAGTAAAGTAAGGTCTTTGTCTAAAAAACTGTCTAAATGGTGTTTTTCTGACTCAATTTTTAAGTGTAATTCTATTTGCCAATGTTATCTTTATCCACTCCAGGATTTAAATGTGGATGAATTTGAAGAGATATTCAAGACAAAAGCCCAGGGTCCTGCCATTGATCTTTCTTCAAGCAAACAGAAGATAACACAGAAGGGATCAAACAAAGTGACATTACTAGAAGCAAATAGGGCCAAAAATCTTGCCATAACTCTAAGGAAAGCTGGGAAGACTGCTGATGAGATATGTAAAGCTATTCATGTGTAAGTTCAATGCATTCCTGAAAATTATATAAACTTAGGATAAAGATGAAAATAAAAAGTTACAAATTAATTGACAACAGAAATATTTCAATGGGGGGAAAGAGCCGAGAAAAATGATGGAGCAATTATTTTTGTATGTATATATACATTATTATTATTTATACATGAAATCACTATACATTATTCAAATTGTGAAGAGACTTTACCCAGCATGATATACACCTCAGTCCAGCCCAGTTGAGACCACCATACACATCCTCATCAACAGATAATAAACCTCATCTGTGACGATGGAGCAATTCTTGATATCCACATTTCAGAGATTCCCTTTTTTATGTACGGGCTACTTTATAGAGTTGAATAAGATGCTAATGTTGAAGAGGTGGAACAGAAATTGTGCTAGGGAGTACTGCCTTGAAATGAGTAATCATTTGCTTTAGAAGAGCCACATCTGGATTGTGATGTCATTTACTATCTTGCTCTGCACTCTTATATAGGCCTGCAGCAGTGCTTACATAAAGGGAGAGTTGAACCAAGCATCGCAGATGTTAAGAAAAGGGGGAAAAATGTCAGTGTTCTCTAGAGTGTCTGGATTTTATCCAGAACTGATGAATAAAATAATTCGATGGCATTTGTGGAATGATACAGTTTGATGCCAGGTGCAAATATGATACAGATGCATTTTTAAATTTTAATTCATAGCAATAGGAATGTGAATTTTATTGCTTTTAGGACATTTTAAACAAGGGTTTTGGTTTGGTTTTGTTTTAAAATTCTTGAGCTGCATAGAAAGCATTGATTTCATTTATTTCTTTATTAGAAGATTACTTCTATGGCGATGGTGACTTTTAAGTGTGATAAAGATGTGATTGAATGTTTGAGGAACTAATTATTCATAAATTGGTATTTTGTAAATTTTGATTAGCTCTTCTTAGAGAAGTGAATGACCCTGAGGAGTCGTTTACCATGGTTTTGTGTCTTCAGCTAATGTCATAATCTAATAATCCAACGCCTCCTATAATCTGTTCTGATTTCTGATAATGAAAACTAATACGCAATCTGGTTTTTAATCTTGGCTTATCTTGTTTGTCATAATGATTAAATGTAATTCTGTTATCTTGCTGAACGGTGATTGTCCAGAGAATAAAATAGAAGTGGTAGTAAATAACTACACTTGTTCATATTGAGCCTCCATTCACAAAGAGCTGGTATTCCTTCAAGGAATTTATGCACTTAAGCCCAAACCTCCACATAATACAGGCATTTGGAAACATTCTTTCCAAAGAAAAAAATATTCACAGACTCTTGGTTTAATTGAAATTTTGTACAGAATTCACCAGATATCCTGTAATGGTATGTGTGTGTTAATCTCCTTAATTAGCAGTACTTCACAGTGCCTAAAAACTACACCCTTGATTCACTTAACCTTCAGATGCTTTTAGCCTTCTTTCTGCCTCTTCTTGTTGTCATTTACTCTTGATTCCTAGCTTAAAGCTACACCGATAGCCTGAAAACTAAGGGTGGCTGTCGTGATCAAGCCCAGGTTTTCAGGGAGGGCCCGGTGAGTTACCTGATGTGTGGTCAAGTACCAGTGCCAAGGTGGGGCTCCACACCTTGCTAGCTGAACAGCTGGACTAGGTAGAGGTATGATGGAAAGAAGTCGGGGTATTTTCTCTAACACTGATCTGTCCACATCTGTCCTCAGATTTGACTTGAAGACATTGCCTGTAGACTTTGTGGAATGTTTGATGAGGTTCCTGCCAACTGAGAATGAGGTGAAAGTGCTGCGGCTCTATGAGCGGGAAAGGAAGCCCCTGGAGAACTTGTCGGATGAAGACCGGTTCATGATGCAGTTCAGTAAAATTGAGAGGCTCATGCAGAAGATGACCATCATGGCCTTCATTGGGAACTTTGCTGAAAGCATACAAATGCTGACTCCTGTGAGTGGACTGACTCCAGCAGGGCAGGGCGTCCAAAGAGAGATGGAATTTTCTCCCTCTCTCTTTTTTTTTTTCTCTCCCAGAATTGCATTCAGTGTGATGAGCTATAATGACTCCTTGCCAGAACTTTCCAGATTGTAATTTTTTTCTTAATTTTCCAGAGAGCTTGTGTACTTGCTGGAAGGAGTGGAGATTTTTTTAAAGCACCCCCCTTGGGGGAATGGTCATGCTATAATCCTTTCTCCATTTCTCCCTCCTTTTGGGATTTTGGGCAAGAATGAACATACACCCAACATGTTTCTCAAGCTGCCAGGTCTGGCAGTCAAACATGTAGGATCCAGCTTTGTTAACTACCATGTCCAATGCTAGCCCTTCATTTTTTTTTTTCTTTCTTTCTTTCTTTCTTTTTTTTTTCCTAAGAAAGAGGTTTTTGTTATAGAGCACATGTGCTCGCCAGAGAGACAGAGAGAGACAGAAAGTGAGAAATCACTCCTCAGGGGGGATGGCCATGCTGCAATCCCTTCTCCTCCATTCTCCTCTCAGGATTTTGGGTATGCATTCACATGCACCAGGTGTATTTTAAGTCTCTGGGTCCAGGACTCGAACTGCTGTTGACTACAAGCAAGTCCAGTGATGTAACCATTACACCATCTGCTGGCCCTCATTTTTTTTTTTAAGACAGTGTCTCCTTATGTCTTGATCTTCTGCTCTAGTGACCTGCCTAACTGACAATACCAGTGCTCACACTGTGCCCGGCTTTTTTAGGTTGGCTGAGAATGGAAGCTGGGCCTCCCATGTGGCCCTAGCCAGCCGAGCAGTAGGCTCTACTGTCGCTGGGCCTAGATGGCATTTTTCTTTCAGCCGTCACTTCGTATTGTGTATGCAAAGTAAATTCAGAAAGCATTTAATTTCCATATTCCCCCAAGTGAATGCCAATTTCTGTGTTTACAGATGTCCCCTGGATTTTAGGAGACGGTTCAGTACAGAGGACAAGGAAAATCGTTTTTTCAAACTTGGTTTCCTCTGAAGATACTAGTCCTCTGGTTGAGTTAGAAAGACTAAAATGTGACTCCTCATTTATAAAAGTGATCTTGCATCATTAGTGAGACTTATAAGCTTTTGTTGGCAGCATTAAATTCACCGTAGGGGTTTTCTTTGGAAGTTTGTCATAGTAGATATGGTAATATAGAAATAATAGCCAACCCTCTCCCCATCTCTCTGGGGACTTACATATGGTGTACACCGCCGTTCTCTACCAGTTCTATTTAGAAGTAAACTTTTGGTAGTTACTGGTTATAGTAGCAAATCTGTTCAAAACGTGTTCTGAGAACTGCTGGATGATGTGGTACCCTTTTTCCTCCTCTCCTTCCATCCCTATCCTCTCCCTTTCCTATTTTAAATTCTTGGGCAGCAAGAATTTAAAATGCAAATCATATGACTTTAGAGATGGTAGGCAGAGGCTTGAGTTCACTGGGAAGAGGCTGTTGACTCCTAACTCTACATCTGTCGGTAACAAATTCTGTGAGAAGCAAGTTTCTGCGATACTCATTTTTGTACGTAGTTTTGGAGAACAATTTCCATGTAACTATATGGTTACTTAAGATGGAGCAGGACAACTAAATTTATCATTCCTAGAAAGAATAGAATCTCATCACTAAGACTTTAAGGTATAAATGCTGATCTGTTTTCTTTTGTGTTAATTTTTAGTTCCCAATTCATTTCCCATTTTTAACATGTCTTTTTCCCCCCCCTTCTTCCTCCTTTTGATTGGACTCTAGCAACTGCACGCAATTATAGCAGCATCTGTCTCTATAAAGTCATCCCAAAAACTCAAGAAAATTCTGGAGGCAAGTGACATTTTCCTTGTATACACATGTGGAGAGCTCACCTCTCAGCTGCACCCCATGCCTGGGGCACTGTCTTGACAGGTTGCTCCTTTCTCTCTCTTTCGCAGATTATCTTGGCACTTGGAAACTACATGAATAGCAGTAAGCGAGGAGCAGTTTATGGATTTAAGCTTCAGAGTTTAGATCTGGTGAGTGGACTAAAAGAAAAATGAGAGCTATGTGGGAGACAAACAGCTGGCAGAGATTAAGTGCTGGGGGGTGGCGGAGTCTGTTCTTAGAGGTGGAGTGGGATATTTTGGGGAAGATTCTCTGGTAGTGGGAGGATCAATTGGTATAAATTCTCGAACACCAGTTGATGATAAGCACTTAAAACACTAAAAAATAACTCAACGTCTGACCTTGTATTTCTGTTTCTAGGAATCGTCCTCAGGTGTCTGAATTGAATGTTCATTTTATTTATAATTATAAATAGTAATACTCTAGAGGTCCAACATTGTGGTAGATGACTAAATATGATGTAACAATAGTTAATGTGACAAACTATTCTGAAATGGTTAAAATACTTGTGAAGAGTTTTCAAAGAAATGGGTTATTTTGTGTTTTGGGGGGAAAAAGCAGAGAATAAATTATAGGTATAGTTTAACCTTAACTTCTACATATAAAATATGTGGGGGAAAGTGGATGGAAATAGGGGGCCAGCAGGTGGTATGATGATTAAGGCAGTGGACTCTTACATGGCCAACCGTAGTTCAGACTCCAGACCTGGAGGATTTCTTTCTTTCTTTCTCTCTCTCTGGCCAAATTGAAAAAATGATTATGATAAATAAAGCAAAATAAATAATTATTTTATTTATTTATATTTTAAGAGAGGTTTTTGCTATAGGGTGTGTGTGCTCACTGGAGAGACAAAGAGAGACAGAAAGTGCTCACTGGAGAGACAAAGAGAAATCACCCCGTTGGGGGGGATGGCCTTGTGGCAATCCCTTCTCCTCCATTCTCCTCTCAGGATTTTGGACACACACACACTCCTGGCATGAGTTTTAAGCTACGGGGTCTGGGACTCCAACCACGGTCAACTATATGGGAGTCCAGTGACATAACCATTACGCCATCTGCTGGTCCCAATAATTATTTTTTAAAAAGTGAATGGAAGTAGGTTAAAATATTAAGAGGTTGAATAGAATTAGATAATTTTTAGGAAATGCTTTTTTATACTTTCTTGAATTAAAAACATTTTTTTCCCACCTGGAGAAAGGCATGCTCTGCTTTTCAGAGTCATCTGGTGAATATGGACAGGTAGAGAAAATCCTCCATAGAAGCCTCTCCAGCTGTGTAGCCTGAGGAGTTTGGGCAGCGATTTCTGTCCCCAGCCTCGGGAGACACGGTTATGTGATACAGAGTGTCCAGTCAGTCACAGTTCTGACCCCCTGCAGATCACAGTCACTTATATATATATCTGTTTGGGGTCACCAGAAGTTGGGACTTAAAAGCAGAGCTGAGCTGCATGTAGAGACTGCACACACCTGCTGACTGCATGCTTGAAGAGAACTAAAACCGGAGTCTTCCTGCTTTTGAACCAGGGGAGATGGGATGGGAGGTGCAGAGCCAGGGGGTTCACACACATAGAGTATAAGAACCATTTGTAGATGCTCACACTCCTCCCTACTGCCTAACAAATCATTTGGTTAGAAAGTCCTCAGCTCATTTAAATATTAGTGGAATGGTTCGCTGAAGAACTTAATGCATCTCGAAATCTGAAATCAGCTGGGAATGGCAGCGGGTAGGGCAGCTGTACTCCGTTCTTTACTCTGGGTGGGAAAGCGCCATCTGGTGGGGAACTCTTCCATTACCCTTTGCTCTTGCCCATAACATGTGTCCCCTTCTGTTTTCAGCTCTTGGATACAAAGTCAACAGACCGAAAGCAAACGCTGTTGCACTACATATCGAATGTTGTAAAAGAAAAATATCACCAAGTGACCCTATTTTATAATGAGCTTCATTATGTGGAAAAAGCTGCTGCAGGTACTTGAAGCTATTAATGTTACACTTGGGTATTTTTTGTTTGTTTGTTTGTTTGTTTTTAATTTACTCATTTAGTTCCTTCATGAGAGAGAAAGACAGGTAACCTCCAAAGAGTCTCCACACCACTGTCTTCGCTCTATCCTACATCTAGCTAGGATCATAGGCATGCTCAGCGTGTTGAAGTAGACTCAGGATGTGAACCTCCAGCCCTCCCATGTAGTTTCCAGCATTATAAAGCAGTTCCTGCTACCTGTGCCACCTTTCTAGATAGGTTCACTATATCATAAATCTTCTTCATCAGCCTTTTGAGAAATTAGGACTCTAGGTGTGCGCCACTGTGCCTGGCCTTCAGGGTAGGCAGGAAATCAAACCCAGGCCTCCCAGGGGGCCTCAGCCTGCTCAGTAGTAGTGTCTGCCAGCACATACTACCACGGCTGGGCCGTTCTTGGATGTTTAACACCTCAATCATGAGGGAACCTTTTTCTCCTTAAAACACTTTTCAGACCCATTTACAAAGTCCAGGAGAAGTCAGAAGCTCTTAACTGGGACCTGTCCTGGTATTGCCCACTCCTGAGAGCTATAGTGAGGTTAGGCATGAAGGTGACCTCTGTGTCCTCTCTGTTAGTGGTCCAGGTCCTGGAGATTCTTCCATTTATCACCCTTCATATTCTATAGTTAGAGTATGAAATAAGAGAAAGAGAATTTGAGGGTCATTCCCCTCACAAAACTTTTGATTTCATGTTATCCCCTTGCTCCGACATGGCAGTTTTAAACATTTGTGCCTTTCCCTGAACATTAGTTACCAGTATCCATGGTTGCTGCTTTGCTGTGACAGTTACACATTTTCTCATCTAAGTCATTAGAGACTTTTAAGCTAGCTAGGTGTATAAGGACTCCATGTAACAGATGAGAAAATGGCTGTCTGCAGAGGTTAAATGTCTTGCCAAGGTCACCTGAGTAGAAAGTGATAGAAACGGGACCAGAACCCAGATCTTCTAACTTCTTGTGTAGTCTGGCATCCCGTGTACCTTGTCCTTCCAAATGAATGTGGGCCAGCATATGGCTAGATCCTACGGAGCCAACTGTGTGGTTGGAGTCCCAGACCCTGCAGCTTGGAAAACATGCTAGGCGTGTGTGCATGGGTACCCCAAATCTGGTACCCATGCACAGACCCTGCTAGGCGTGTGTGCATGGGTACCCCAAATCCCAAGAAAATGGGGGAGAGGGATTGCTGTCTGGCTTTCTCCCCCTGGGGTATGCTTTCTTACTTTTGCTTTCTGTCTGTCTTCTGTCTCTGTTTCCAACAAGTGCATGTACCCTACAGGAGAAAAAAAAAAAAGGAAGGAAGAGAAAAAAGAAAAGTAACTACAAATTGATCTTGAAGTTAGTTATAGGCCCTGATTCTCAACTTGTAATCTTGAACCATTAGCAGCCAGTGTTTATAACAAATTGAGATTCCTGAGGCCTATCTCAGACTTATTAAGTCTTTGAGGGCTAGATCTTATCTGACTTTCTCAGAGTAAATGCTGTTACCTCTGCATTCTTACTAAATAGCATCCTGTACTAATCTCTCATACAAGATGAAATTTTATTGTAACAATTTGCATGTCCACTTCAATCTGTATGTATGTGTATGTATATATATATTAAGTTGCTATAGGGTGTCTGCAGTTACTGAAGGGACAGAGGCAGATATAAAGAGAGAGAAGGAAAGTGAGAAAGTACTTCCCAGGGGCATGACCATGCTACAATCCCTTCTTCACTCTTCTCCCAGGACTTTGAGCATATATGCACATGTACCCAGTACGTTTTTCAAGCTGCAGTGTCTGGGACTTGAACCATACTGTTGGCTGTGTGGGATACAGCTGTGTTGACCATCATGCCACCACCTGGTGCCCCTATAATCTGTTAATTTCTTAAGGATATAATCAGTTTTGCCTTTATATAATTCTCTAAGTTCCTGGCAGTTTGGATGTTGGGAATAAATGAACAAGCAAGTGAATGAGTCCCATGATACATTGTTATTGGGGTAGATGCCACCAAAACCCTCTTGGAGACCGAGAGAACTGAGTGATGATGCTGGGACAGACCACTGTACTCGGGGCTACTTGGGTGGTGAGCAGCACACTTCTGGTGGAGTAGTTTTCCTCTTCAGGTTTCCCTTGGCCTAAATTAGTGGTTAATAAGCATGATGATCATATTTAAGCAAAAAGTTAGGAAACAAATTGCTACTTTATTGACTGTAGCACATTTTATTTGACCCAAGTAGGATTCCCAAAAAGTGTCAATTGAAGAAAGTCAGTGAGAAAGGTGGGATGCTCTCTGGTTGAACGGTGCTTTCTGTCTTTGCTCTTCAGTATCCAGATGGGCCACACAGATTCTTTTATTTCTTTACCTTTATAGTTACTCACTCCCTCATTTATCCAGCAAACCCTTTTCAGTAAGTGCTTTCATGTACTTGGTACTGTTGTGAGTATTGGGGGATCGGAGATGATAAGGACAGTGTGAATCTGTTGTGGGGGAAACATACTGCATTGTTTGGTAATTCATCCCTGTGCAGAGCTGAGTCAGACAGTGATGAGGCAGAGGTGGGGCCCGACCTCTGTGGGGAAGTGGCTCCGGAGCCTCCAGCAGTGCACCTGCTCTGGAGGTGGCCATGCTGCAGATGAAAAGGTTCATGCTAAACCCTTCTCAAGCAAGGAAGGGTTGTTTAACAGAAAGAAGCTGCCTCAGGTTGCTTTGTGTCCTGGTGGTCAGCACTACTAAGGTTCA